ACACCAAGAATATTCTTCTGAGACTTAAAATATTGCGTCAGCAAGGGGAAGCTGTGCGAGTGTTTAGTGGCTTATCTTGATCGGAAACACACTCAAGGAGGGCCTTTCAATCATGGACAAACAACGACAAATAATATATATTGTTTCCTCTTAATTACAGGTAATTACGTAGTGACCTCATTCAAACCATGAGCGCGCCCTGGAATTTGACGACTTCTTCGAATTGGTTTGGACTATCTGTGGGGCCATCCCTTTAAACTGTAGGGGAAGCTGGCTCATATGGAAGTTTGACGGAACGCCTTCTCACAAATGATCATTTGAGTGTGGAACGGACTCACTGACGAGGTGGTCCCTTCAGGAACTATTGCGACACTTAAATGCAAATTCGATCCTCGTTTGCAGAGAAACTGTTGTACTTATAATGGACATTATGTCAGTAGCAGCAGTTTGTGACCGGCTCACACATATCACTGATGTTAACTCCACGTGTGTCATGTGTGCGAATAGGAAACTCAAGGGCTAAAGCCTTCTCCCCTCAATAAAGTGACCTAAAATGTGCATTCTAAGACACGCATTCCAGATGTTTGCATGGACAAAGTAAAAGATTGGACGAGCCCCGCAACAGTTTCTTTTTAAACTCGTGTAGGAGTTCATTGTCAGGGCTAGCAACAGTAAAACAGCCGAAAATTATGTGAGGACGCAAGTCAACTAAGTATCACTGATGCAAGTCCGGTGACCCCGCAGGGCTCTATACGCCGGCGGCAGATCGACACACCGATTGGACGAGTTCCTATCCGTATACTAGACTTCAATCCATTTTTTGTCTCGTCTTGTTCCCAGTGTGGACGATTATCGTGACGGATGCGAAGCTGAATTCATGGACCCTGTGAATGTATGCGCGGTCCGAGCATACGTTCAGTTTGACCCGGGTAGTTACAGTGTAAATACATAGGTCAACCGGAGTGCATACTTGGATCGCGCATACATGAACGTAACCTGGCTGTCGGGCAGGCAGAGCGACAAATCATCGGAAGTTACTGCCCAAACCTACTAACTGGGCCGTTAAGTGTCACCTAGGATGGAGAGTATAGAACTGCTGACTTACCCTCTACGTAGAAGCGCAAAGAGGGAGGGATGAGTTCCAGGCACTGATTG